CCCTGCGGGCGCCCTCGGCGGGGACCGCCATGGCTGCAACTCCGCTGGCCGGGCGGAGTCGCGAAATGCAGCGCCAAAGACGTGCGGAAGCAGGCGAGGCGGGGCGAGGCGGGGCGGGGCCTGGGAGGGGCGGGGCCAGGACGGGATCTCGACGGGAGGGATGGCTCGCAGGGGACGGGGCGGGGCCTGGGAGGGGCGTGGCCAGGACGCGATCTCGACGAGAGGGATGGCTCGCAGGGGACGAGGGCGGGGCCTGGGCTGACGCCAAGAGTTATTCTGATTGCACCTGGAGGCGAGGGGGACGTGCATAGGGCGTGGCACAGGGCGTGGCTTAGGACGGAGCAGTCGCAGTGCTCCAACCCAGAAGGAGGCGGGGCCTGAGCCTGCGACAGGCGGGAAGTGGGGAGTTGAACACAGAAAAGAGGGTCTGGGCCAGAGCTGGGTTGTGGCGGGTGGACGGTGATTGCGTTAGGCCGAGAAAGGGCCGGGCGGGGGCCGGGCGGGGTGAGGGCGACGGCGGGACCCAGGGAACCCGAGCCTCTTCCTACTCTTTCAGTCTTTCAGTTCCTTTGCCCTACAAATCTTGAGCTTTCAGAAATGTGATGGCCTTTGCCGAATGGTTTTCCCTGACCCTTAGTCCTCCTGATGGGATTCTGTCCACCTATGAGGCCCAGCTCACAATCCACCTCCTTCAAGAAACCTTCCCAGATCTTGTTCGTAACTATTCAACCGTGGCGTTGACTTTGGAGTCTATTCTAGGTTGGCTTACCAGCTCCATTACTGACTTTTTAAGAAAAATTAATTTATTATTATTATTTTTTATGTTCTATGATGTTGCAGAGCAGTTGGGGTGGAGGGGGAGGGGGAAGAGGGGAGGGGGAAGGGGAGAGGGGCTGGCCCATAGCTGGCTCTTGTTGGCCTGGTTGCAGAGGGTTGGGGTGTTTGGTCAAGGCCCCTTTCTGGTTTGGGAACCTGGGGGACTAACGGTGGCGGCTTGGTCGTCGCTGCACTAAGTGACTTTGGACAAGTCACTTCACTTCTATGAAATCTATAAAATGGGAAGAATATCACCTACTTTGTAAGTTTGCTTTCCATATGAAAATAAATAATAAATGTAAAAGACCCCACAGAGTACTTAGCACACAGCAGGCAAAGGAGAATTTGTATAGATGTGTGTCATGTTGTTACTGATTAAACAGCAATTGAGTGTGTTAAAGATTTAAAAATGTGCAAATCCTTTGAGCCAGCAATTCAACTTTTAGAAAAATAGGAAAAGGAAAAAAATAGAGATTGGTTAAATTAACTAAAATTCATCTATAAGGTGAAAGGCCATGAGGCCATGAAAATATGCATTGGAGAATATTTATTTATTTATTTATTGTCCTTTTTTGTGACCGCGCTCAGCCAGTGAGCACACTGGCCATCCCTATATAGGATCCGAACCTGCACTCTCCCAAGTGAGCCACGGGGTTGGCCCATTGTAGAATATTTAACATGGAGAAAGCATGATCTCATTTTCATAATGGAAAAATAACAAGCCATCTCTGGGTATTGGTATGGTGAATTTCAATTTTTTTTCCCTCTTGGGAATGTGCTGACTGCAGTTCCTCTTCTCCAGGGTTCTCCATGTCTTCCTCCTACACTGGTCAGAGTCAAAGTCCAACCTCCACTTCCCCTCTGTGCTCCCGGGGTTTGCCCTTCATCTGGAGGGTGTGGCCTGCTGTGCATTTCTGCTATTTCTATCATCCTTGCCGCGATACCTATGATCCACTTTGGCAGTTTTGGTCATACAGAGACACATACATCACACACCTATAAGTGTCACTGCTGTGCACAGCACAATTCTTTGGTAGGCCTGTTTGTTTTTGACTAGATAGCTGTGGTGTCCTGGGGACATCACTGGAGTCAGGGTGAGAAGAATTGCAATTTTGTCCCAGCTAACTATAAGGACTTGGGCAGGTCCCCTTCCCTTATTGGGCCTCATTTTCTTCATCTGTATAATGGGGATGTAAACCTCATCTGATAGGACTGTGAGAAGTGAAATAGCAATACTGGTATTTATTGACCCTCTAGTATGAGCCAGCCACACCACACTGGACACTTGACCACATATCTTCATTTGCTCTCACAGCAACTCTGGGAGGTATAATTGTCTCCACTTGTGTCGTCTCTCCCAGGGTGACGGAGACAGAAATGGTTACTCAAAGCCCATTTTCCGGGCTGGCCCGGTGGCGCACTCGGTAGAGTGCGGTGCTTGGGAGCACGGCGGCACTCCCGCTGAGGGTTCGGATCCCATATAGAGACCGGTCCGCTCACTGGTTGAGCGTGGTGTGGGCGCGACACTGAGGGTTGCGATCCTGTTACCGGTCATGAAAAAAAGACAAAAAGGGAGAAAAAAAACAAAACCTGTTTTCCCAGAGCAGTGAGGCCTGAAGGGGTTAATCCCAAAAGCAATTCCTTCAAGAGAGAAAGATCCTTGGGAATAACCCCGAATCAAGTTTTCTCTTAGTTTTTATTGTACAGGCAAGAAAGTTACAGAAAAGAACACAGGTGGTTAATCAGTCATAGTAGGAGTCAAAAAACTAAGCTATGTGAAGTACAAAAAGAAAGAATGAGATAATCGTCATGGCAACACTTAGTTCCCCAAGAAAGTTAAAGAAGCAGCGGAAGGAAGATGTGGAACATCCCCCAACCATTAACCTTGAAGCTTGTAGCTCACACACTTTCTCATCACTTGGTTGAGCTGCACCAAGGACCACTGCCCTTAGAGTAATCACTTTTGCTGTGTTACAATTCTTTTTATCAACAACAGACTTTAGTCCTAGGAAAGTTTTCTGTTTTTCCCAAGCTAAGCATTTCTATGTGTAATTCTAAAAAGTTAGGCTATACTTTAAACTAAAGGGCTTTGGCCCTGCTAAAACTAAGGACTATGGTCCTACTAAGCTAAAAGTTAAGGCCCTGTGAAATACATGTGCTTTATTAATGTAGTATCCTGCACAACTTGCGGATGAAAAAGGAAAGGGATGTGCCTCAGGCTGCATGGACTACACAGCAGCCTGGCAGGGCTGAGATCAGGGTGAGCCAGGTAAGGTGAGGGAGGTAATTGCCATAGGCACAAAATTTCAGAGGGCACCAGAAAGTTCAGTAATCAAGATAATAGCATTTTAATGTTTTTTTTTTTTTTTTTCTTTTTTTGTGGCTGTCAGGTAAGAGGATCCAAACCCTTGACCTTGGTATTATAAAGCTGTTTGTAGACTAACCAACTGAGCTAACCAGCCAACCCCTAATGTAATTTTTTTTTTTTTTTTTTTTAAAGATGACTGGTAAGGGGATCTTAACCCTTGTCTTGGTGTGGTCAGCACCACACACTCACCCAGTGAGCGAACCGGCCATTCCTATATGGGATCCGAACCCATGGCCTTGGTGTTATCAGCACCGCACTCTCCCGAGTGAGCCACGGGCCGGCCCTAATTTTTTTTAAAAATCAAAATTAATGCAAAAAGTTCACAATGAACAAAATATCAAAAAATTATAAAAG